TATATATAAAACAGCCTTAAGTACTGAATTGATTAAACTATAGCATGATTTCGGATAAATTTCTCTCTTTTTTTTTTTCAAGAACAGCGCGAACAACATTGCTGGCGAAAAAAAAAAGGGAACATACTTCGAAACATAATCTTGTCGATCTACTGAGCATTTTTGCAGGCCGGGGTGCGTGTTACCCCACGATATGGGTTGCTTGCTTATACAGGGCAAGGGTCTACTGCGCCGCTGGCTCTATTTCTTGGTGAGTGAGTATTAACGTATGTATCTTCCTGTCTCTTTGTGTACGGGCGTGTTTGTGTGTGTATGTGAATTAGACTCAGTCAATGGAATGACAAGCTTTTCCGTTAATCGGATGCCCAGATTACTTATATTGATATTAGACCATACAACTATTAATAATAAGAGTACGCTAAAAATAACTTGCCATCGATCAAGTTACAAGCGGTGCGCACCTAGTCCAGTTACTTATCTTGAGCATAACACATGTACTCGAGCGCGCATCGCTTCCCACCACATCATCCCTTCGTATTATTGCTCCCTTACTTCGAGGTCCTGTGTCCTTCGTCCCGGGGCCGCCAATGCAATCTACCGTGTTCATTGTGAGTGCGGTTCGCAGCCGGCTATAGCACTAGAGTAATGCAGCCAGTATCTTGGAGTGCTTTGTTTCTCTAATTTCCTATCATTCTCTGTCTTTTCATCGTCACACAACAGCCGAGAAGTTACTCCCGCTGTCGTCGACAATAGTTATATTACTGCTGCTTTTACTGATGTTGCCAATAGTCCCTGATTACGGCCACTAAGCCACGAAGCTCTACGGATGTCGTCGAGAAACTCTGTAGAAAAGTCGGCAAATAAGTAGACGAGCTATGCTGAGACAACTACAATGGCTAACATTATCTTCTTCTTATTATGATGATTACTATCGAGTGGCAGCATCAAGCGATTCGGCAAAAAAAAACCGAGACGCACAGACTCACGCTCCCGTACTGGCTGCTGTTATATCGGCTCTAAATCTTTCATCAAAGCGAAACAGCGGATCTGAGTCTGGTGTCATAGTGCCCTCGAATGCCCCAAACAGAGAGTGGACTATCTAGCCGACGCAACACTAGTAGATCCGGTGTCATGAAGAAACATCGACATCGAAGACGTAAGCTAGTAGACAGACGAATCAGGCTTGCAAAGATAGAAACATATGAGACGCAAAAGTGAGCCTGCCCCGTCTCCGGCTGCCGCTGCTAGTTCCGAATCTTCAACTGGTGATAGTGCAGCCTATTACGCCTATATATGGATTGAAATATATCAAGTTTACATACGATCGGTTCCCTACAAAACGATAATGCTCTACTACGACTATTACAAACCGAACAAGACACCTTCGAAAGCACGAAGAGAAGATCGCTCGTACTGGAAAGACCTAAAAGGCATTAGGAAGGTGTGGGACAGTGACAAAAGACATTAGCGACGGCAGCAGTGCATAATAAGCGGGTTCGCTGTTGGGGTATTCTCCGATGCAAAGCACGAGTACAGGGGTAATGGCAGCCGGGTAACGGTGACAGGCAATCGTGTTAACAATGGAAAATAAAACACTATCAGTTTAATTTTTTTTTTACAATAGTGTCGGTAAGGTAAGCGGCAGAGTTAATACAATAAGTATTCGGCGCTACACGTTTGTGCACAAAAAGGCTTTTGAAAACGGAATTTTGAGATAAAACGTTTACAGTTGTTTTTTTCATCATAACATCAGGCCAAATATTTCCTCAAGCTCTAGTCATAGATTCAGAGTAATTAAATGCTGGTCAGGACTCTCGTCGTTAACGTTTAACAGCGTTCAATTGTCAGATGTTGAGCCATTGAATACTCTGTTATTCGACAGGAGTATTTACCTATAGTCTTTTGCGTAGCGGCTCTCGATCCCGTTTAAACAGTCGCATCCAAAGAGAACAGGCATATGTAATAACAGACAATATAAAACCTAATTTAATAAGCCTTTTTTATGCTTTCTACTCCTCAACATCAACACTTCTCAGGATCTAACTTGCTCTATGGTTTATAAATATCACAATGCTTCGGGTACATCAAACATGAAGTTTCTGTAACATCCTAGTTGCGGAGAGGGGTCAATTTCTACAGGATGAATTTCTAAGTTCCTAGTTACAGCTTTTGTTTGTATGCTATCTCCAATATGACAAGCTGCACTTCTCGCTAGAAAAATATGGTAGCATTAATTTCAAAACAAGCGCAGAAAGAGTCGACGGCATCGATAGCCTAAAGAGCAGTATTCTGAAGCAGCGGACCGATGTAGTTTGTGGCATAATGTTCAACGAGAACAATCAGAATCTACATACATCAACTCCAGTCAATTCTAGATGAAAATGTCCACCTATTTGCGGCGTTAGATATGTATGACGAGGACACATACTCTGTGATGGGGACTTTTGTTGTTATTCTAAACCAAGGACCTTTTAACCGTTTTCTATTTTAAGAGATTCATGTACTAAAGATGAGCCTTATAAAGGTAAGAATACAGGCAGCACCGCACTTGATCACCCATAGTTCAGCATCCCTAACAGATGATCTGGTCATATTTGTTGTACGTCGTTATACGTTGTTAATAATGGTCGAAGCCACACAGAAGTTCACGCTATCCTATTGAATAATCTGATAACAACAAGGTCGTTCAAATGATTCGATTGAACTGAGATTTGAAATTTCGTATAGCTTTACTCCTCGAACTGGTAGTATCCTTTGTGTGGGAACTCTACCTTCAAGCTCAAGTTTTTCAGTCACTATACACATGGCATAGTACTTCATAATACTCTACTTGTGTTCATACGTGTTATCCTTTTTATTATATATATTACTGTTTTGCGTTGCCTGTTGCTGTTCCAGAGCGCGACGAGCGAGTGGACCTGACAAAGCTGACGCAATTTTCGACTGCCGGTTACTCCTGCCGCTGCTGCTACCCCAAGACAGCCTTTACGGCTATCTCTGTTGAGCTTTGTGATGTCGGCTGGCCGTATTTCAACAGTGTTTCAGGGTCTGAAGCACACTGGCCTCACTCCATGCTTTTCAGCGACGCCCTCCATCCGTTCGATGGCCGTTAGATCCCCATTTCATCGTACAGCCGGGACCCAACTGGCCATCGGAGCGAAGTAAAGGAATAGGCGGGGCGAGCAAAGGACTCAGACACATTGGCTCTGCACCTTTCCGTTTCCCCTCTCGTGCCAGTCAGCCAGTGGGACAACTACAGCTGCAATAGCAGGAGCAGACGCAGCTCTCCCTACATAGTACAGCGTCTGCCGTCCGTCTTAAAGCCTGAGCGAGCGCACTCTTAGAGGAGTTTCCCTTTGTCTCTTCTTTTTGTTTCGTGGCGCTTAGTTCTCACCTCCTCGTCATTCTTTCTCTTTGGTCTCTTTCACCCGTTCCGCTCCTCTCAGCTGCACTCCGTTCCTTAAGTTACTTCAGCGTCAAATGTGGCGGCGCTTGACTGAGTTTTCGTCTGGCAGCTACATAGTAAAGCTCCCACCAGTCGCCTCTAGTGGATGGTGGTTGAACACCATTCGCTAAAGTAGCACCCATGGAGCCAATAGCGAACAGCAAGGGTAGTTTCCTTGCCAGCTGTGTTCATTGCTTTTCTCGCCAAGAGTGCTGGAAGAAAAAGGGAACTAGCACGAATGAGCAGAAGGAAGAGGTGTTCGAGAAAGAGGACGTACAAGCGGAGGGTTGTGCGTACAAGGGAGAATTTCCTCGTAATTGGTTTTTGGTCGCGTCGGCTTTCGCCAAACCTGACGCTGAAACCATCTTAAAACACCCGCGCGTCACAATTCCTCCGTTCGTTTCCAAGTCCGGTTCAGCAGCTCTTTGAGTAGCCCGCGCCTTGTATAGAGCCAGACGGGCAAGTTGGAGGCGGATGGGGTGCAACCATCGAAGCACATGACTACGACAGACTTCACCCGGACAGACAGGGCTCAGAAGTGATTTCCAACGCAGTTCACTGTAAACTTCTTCCCTCATCCCGTTCATAAGGTTTTTGCCGTCTTCCCACAAAAATCGGAATAGAGCCGACGGGTAAGCAGTGGGAGAGGTTACTACCGGGGGGGGGGGGGGGGGACTGTCAGAGGTATAAGTCGCTGAGAAGTACATCCATCTCACGCGGTACAAGTACATGCGACAATCTTCAGTCTTTTCATTCGTGTCGTCTTCTCCTTTTCAGTCGTCTTCCTTGCATTAGGAAACATCGGAAGTTTTCAACGCGAGGATCAGATAAGTGCCATGATCCCCTGCCCCCGGGGTCGTTCTCCTCAACGCAAGTAGCCCATAGAAAAATCATTAAGTGTCCAACCTTCGGATAAGAGCGTGCACGCTACGAATAGTCTTCCGCAGCGTCATGGAAGCGCAGAAACACTCAGGGGTCGGAGAGAAAGGTATTTGTATAGCGTGGATCGAACCAAGTAGGACGTCGCAGAGCGCCCAAGTTGTAGCGCATTGATATATAAACATGAGGGAGATATACAACTCTCCATTAACCCTAATGCCATTTCTGTAGACTCTAGTCTGTAATGTGTATATATATATATATCAAAAAGACTAACAGGCTGATTGCTTTGACTCATGCTCAACGTAAAACTACAATAATATTGTAAGATGACTATCAGAGTAGGTCCGGGGGCAAAAGCTAACAGACAGATTAACACAAAGGATCGCAACTGGATTTGTAAACATTTGTTGCAGTATTACGTAGTAACATAATTGTTGTTGTTCATGTAGACGAAAGTAAAAAATGACAGTTTACTTGTACTATTTATCATGCCACGACCTAAAACATTCACACTTAAGGCTCGTGTCATAGAAACTATTAAGGCTATTTTCCTTTTGATGATCCTAATCACAGTCCTTCCTGATTGGACACATTCTGAGACAATCTCTTGTTAGTTCATGCCAATACAAATGTAATCACTCCTAAAAAATAACGCAAATGAAGCAACACTCACGCCAGGAGTTCGGGCTTGCGGCCCGTACGGATATCGCGTCCATTCTAGGGATGTCTCCGTCGTCGTGTCCAGGAGCACCACTGAAACGTTCAACAATAAAGAAACCGTATACATTGTTAGGATCTGCTGTAATTAGTTTATTTTCAAACAAATGAAAAATTCCCGAGACTGTTTATTCGAGGAAAGCAATTTTTGTCATGCCGACAATGCCTTTATGATCTCTATTCTATCAGCCACCGGTAATTTGGCATCACAGATGCGGCGTTTGAGCCTTATTGCATGCTTGTTTGAATGTCTTGAGCATACCTCTAGGCTGTACTACACAATATAATAGTATTGAAATTATTAGACAAAGATAGGCGCAGATACAACATCGTCGACGTATCCCTTGTTAGAGTATATTTACGATTTAATTACTAAAGTGACCCCAGCGGAGATCTGCGGAGGTCTCGTCTACTGAGACGCGTGTGACTGTGCTTTTAACGATGATACATATGATTGAGTCGAGCATCAGCACCCAATATACTAGCGCTATTTGCGTTTGTTTTGGTTTACTTTCAATAAAGTAGTTACTCATCTCTCTACTTCCAGTAAAATCTATCAAAGTCTCGTGTCTCAATCAGAAGAATCATCGTTACGATTGTTATAAAATATCGATACTTTATAATTTCTGGTCAAGGATGAGCCGTGTATGATGCCTACTTCCCATCTTTGTACGTAAGCACAAACGTGCACACACATAAAGGCACACAGTCTGTCGTCGACTGTATCCGCGTGTACATTATCGCAAGCAAGACATGTGTATACACATGTTACTGCTCAGCGTCAATTACCCTCCACCTACAGCTGAACTCTTCCCTGCCGCTCAGTCCGTTGTTTTCGTTCTTGCCGGTTGCCATTATTATTATAACCCGGCGTCCTTCATCAGCACCATCGCTGGCAGCGACATCGGAACCACCGAATCAACATCATCGTTATCTCAAGGGTTCTACTATTGTTATGATGACCATGCACCACTGCAATGGCTATTGGATACTATCCACAGCCTTCGTGACAGCCGCCGTCTGCTCTCGAATACGGATGACGAACAAAGGAATTCATTGCCCCTGCTGCTGACCTTCAGTTCAACCAACCGACCGTCCGCTCACCCAACCGCCCCCGTCGCTTTATCGGGGAGCGGGCAAGAGCATCGGATCGTACCAGATAGTCAATATCTATTATTCTTTCCGTATCCCATTCCCTGTCCTTATACGCTGCTCTGAACCGTCCCTTTCCAGTTTTCTGCTCTCTTCTGGCTTATATCTTTTCCTTCTGCTAAGCATTTTTTCGCCGCAGCAAATAACGGCAACAGCAGCAACATGAAACGCGGCCCCGTTCAAGTTTGCGCCCAATACTTCTCTGCACTTTTACTGAGAAACAAAGAAAAGACAGTTAAAAGAAGAGAGATTTCTGCCATTTTCTATTCTGGCTAGCGATATACAAACAAAAAAAAATCAACCAAATAGCTGGTGGATAGTAGGGTCGCGGCATGTGGGCAAGTGGAGAACTGAACCAGCGAAAGCTGCCATCTCTTACATGGAAATTAATTCGTTGAGATTACTCTCTCTCTCTCTCTCTCTCTCTCTCTCTCTCTCCGTCTTTCTCTACTTATTGTTTTCTGTATATTTTAATTATTACTTTGAAAATTCTTTCAGTTGATTGTCGACCCTGTCATCTCGTTGCTGGAGCCGACGGAAGCTCAGCTGCAGCTGTAGGCTGACAGAACGAAGCGTACACCTATACGTAAATACATGTACGTACATCGTCGTGCAATAACAGGAACTCAACGTAATTTGCTGTTCTGTACGATGGTGCGAAAAAACAAAATAAATGTGGGCTAAAAGCAAGAAGCCAAAAGCACGTACAGTCTCCACGTCCAGAGCTCGTCTACTAGTTACCGGACAACGAGTGATGAGGAGCGATAGACTCAAGCTGTTAGTGTATGACGCGGAGAAGCATGATCGAACGGTTCACTAAATTAACAAGATCGACTTAAAAACACAAATGGATGTAACAAGATTTTTCTTTTGCAAGGAAGTCTACAAGATTTTACAATACGAGGAAGGCAGTGTCGGGTTATAATATGATCTAGAGTACGAACACAGGACAATCTAAACCGTTTCAAGATTAGCTGACGTGAAGACCCGCTGAAAAAACCCCAGGTATTGCAGCTGCCATGAATAAAGCTATATATATTTAGCAGGATATGGATCCTACTTGAATAGTTGAATTGTTCGATTTCTTTTGCCAGATCAGCCAAGTTTAATGAATAAACGACTACTTCTGCCGCTTCTGGGGGTTACTGATGACGGTGACGGTTGCTATAGGGGGGCGACCGAGGCAAGTTGTAAATGGGTTATATGAAAGATCAGCTCGATTACATCCGGCGCTCCATTCTGATTCTTCTTCTCCTCTTGATAATGAACACCGAGGCCACGTGTAGCAACAGCTGTCACTACCACAGCGAAAACGTCACCAGTAGCGTCGAAAGCAGCAGATGGCGCACGCGTACAAGTATTTAACCGTGTAAACTGTTCGCGTATTCCTTGTGCTTAAATGGACATTACTCTGCTGGTGTACTCTATGGGGGGTACACCACCATCCCTTCCATGAAGTTCTCATTAGCTACATTAAGTTATCCCCAGATTAACTTGACCGTTTTCGAGTGTTCTGTGATAACCAATTCAACTTGGGCTACATATATTGTAGCTGGCTCTGTAATATTGCGGAGTTCGTCCTCTAAACGAACGCTAAACGAGGTTTTTGCAAATGGATGCAATAGATGAAGGTATGAAGTCAGCGAAGTTGAATTCTACCGAATTTTTTTTTCGATCAGTACTCATGAGCGATATAAATATTATCACTGCTAATAGCACAACTGCTATTTGTAACTTGACTTAGCAATAGAGATAACATTATATGTGCTCTTCGAGCTGGTTAAGCTGTTTACATCTGCTGCTGTTGTGTGCCATCAGAAGCGAGGCCGCCAATGCGTCACAAATTGAATTAGGCGACTGCTGAGGTTAGGGGTCGGTTGATTTGAGTTTATTTATTTCGTTTAGCTGGTACCACTAACGATGGTAGCATGAGCGGATGCGTGTGTAAATGTACGGGACAGGTGTCATGCTCTAAGTAGACTGCCTGTGTCAGAGTGTCTGTGTGAGTGCGTGTGCCTGCATTCGTTCTTTCAGTGATGTGGAACGTTTTTTTTGCACCACACGGGCGTAGGTCCAAGCGTCGGTTGGCGTCGCGGCTAAGCGTTCGTATTTAACATGAGACAGGTCGGCTCACAAAACAGGTCGAGCACGAGGCTGGCAAAACACTTGACTTGTGAGATACGCGTTAAGCCCTGCCGAGTTGGCGGGCGCAGGTGGGCGAGTTCGGCTAGAGCAGATGGAGGAGTGACGTTGCGAGACCATTTGAGGAAAAGGCAAGCGGGAACTTCGGGTTGGATCATGCGAGGCAGAAACAAGGGGGCCTATGAACAAATTGCACTTTGTGAGTGAGGCCGCCGCAACTGAATATATCACACGTTACCTGTGCCTCTTAGCCATACCTCTCGGAGGTGGTGGCAGCGTCACTAAGCGTTGCCGTTGTCCTAACTACTCTTCAACCAGGTACTGCAACAGTTGAATCTGTCTCTATTTTGAAAGGGGAAGCCATTACATTAACCTTATGTCTGTCAGTGCCATCCTTAAACTTCGGCACAACGGCTAGTATGTCGTTGCATTCGCAGACTTCATCAAAGGATCTCGATATCTCCAAAGGTCGTTTTACCTACCGAAACTGGTCAACGATCCGTTCGGCATCACTGGGTTAGGAGACCAAAATGACAAAGCTTATAAAAAGGCTCGCAACGTAACGTAAACTACTCGTTCAGCTTCGGTTCGCTTGACGTTCTCAGAAGCACAAACGAGATGACTAAAAATTTTAGGCCATTCAAATTAGTAGCTCAGCCTGCTAATTTAGAATGCCTAAATGACGTAAGACGCAATGGTAATAAATCAAACATAAAATGCCAGCAGACCATTAGTGTTTTCTTTTTTCTTTCGCCTTTTGGTAGTGTCAATCATGGACACGAAAACGTTCGTACATTGTTAATCTTCACAAGCCACGTTCAGCCCTGACCTTCAGCTCCGGTTTCCCAACACCCACGAAAGTAAGCTGACAATTTCGGCCTGTTGTTTATAAAGAGTACCCCTTTTTTTGCGTTCGGGATTACCAAAAAAAATTGTGTGACCTATTTAACGCTTCGTTAGCATTAGGATGATACGAAAACGACCTTTTATCTTATAGTTTTTGTCACCTTTATCTCAGGACGTTGACGTTTAACGTCGTTGTGATTTAAATTAAGATAATGATTCAGATAAGACGATCACGAAAGCCGTCTGGAATTAGCTTTTTTCACTCGATGCAGTGTGTTCATTGTCGTAGTTCATTTCTCCTATCGACGCGTTGCTTTTACCAGATCCAGTAGTCAAAGTCTAGCAGCTGTTATGCGCTCAGGAACCCGACCGATCAGCAAGGAAGATTCAATTTAATTGTTTGTGCCTAGCTTAAAGGTCTCTCTACAGCAAAACAGTAATTAAAAGCCCAGATGTTCTTTTTCGCTATAGAATTTGTTTGCTTTGCCAAATCGTAGCATCGTCTAAACAAATTGTCACGAGATATGAATCACAATATAAAGACCCGTAATGTCTAAGCGTACTCCTTAAAACCAAAGGAAATAGGAATCTGTGAGCGTTAGCGCGGATCTAGCACGAAGAAACGTTAGTTCGTGAAGTAAACCCTGTTCAACGAACAAGAGATTAAGGACGAGAGAGAGAGAACGAGTCATAAGAGGTGTACAAAGCGTAAAAAAATCATTATATTAGGTTAATTCTGTACAAGTATAGGACGGAGGGTTTGGTCGGAATGCAGTAGTAATAGATGTAATAACTTTAATAATTATAATCACTATAATAGGGCTGTAAGATACGGCGTCCTTATCGTTCTACGGAGCACCATTAATTGTCACTGCCATCAGTTATGGCCTGTCTAC